ACACTCATTGACAAACACAATAAAATCACATACATTATAGACATAGCCATTCCAAACACTCACAATGTACAAAACACATGCACTGAAAAAATTAGCAAGTACACAGAACTCGCCCAGGAAATAAGGCATCTGTGGAGGATGGAAAGGATGCTTATAGTACTTGTTGTTCTCTCCTGTACAGGTGTCATACCCCATACACTGCACAAAAGCCTGGGCACATTACAATTGAATAGAAACACATACATCACACTACAGAAGGCCATGATATTGAATATATGTCATATTGTTAGGAAATTCCTGAATAGAGACATCCACACTGACGCACTTATTTAATTTTAGTTTTGGTTTGGTTACTATGCTTTGACTCTGGTTTTGCATAGCCTCCTCCGACCTCTCATCTATTAAAATGGATGTTTGTTTTTATTTGTTTAATATTTTTCTGTTTATTTTATCAAGTTCAGACCAGGAATTCTTTATAGTGGAGTTTTCACTTTTCATCGTAAGGCATCTGGCAACATTGTTTTTTACTTTTTATTTATTTTACTATTTAAAAAACACTAAGGGTCAAAGGTTGATGTTGAATTCATAAATGGACTTTTTATAATACAAATATTGTAATTTTAAAATAAATTGATTAAAAAACACATTTTTTAATTCTCGGGTTTGAGGAGGATAGTATACAGCCACCGTGTCAACAAAGTATAATCCACTAAACCCAACATAATAATAATAATAATATAATTTTAGTATTATTAATTTTTGTAATATAATACATTTTTCTAATTAAATTTTAAAAATATTTCAGCCTGAAATGTATCTGTTTTAAATTTCATAAAATGAATAATGATGAAATTTCACAAAATAAAGAGACAGATACTTCCTTACAATTCTTACCCAGTACTTCAATTGAACCAAGTATAAATGAAAAAAATGAGAATGAAACCTCCAAAGACATTACTTATAATGAAAGTTTTGAAACAGCTTGTTCTAAAAGCTTTTCTGAATTTGGTACAGAAAGGTTAGTAAAATTTATATGCTATTAATTAATGTTTATATTGAATTACATCAGAGTTTTAAATTCTTAAAACCTTAAATTCTTATTCATGATAATTTAAATATCGATACAATTTCTGAGCAAAAGTATGAAATATTTTGTAATTGTGGAAAAATTATTTTGATCCTGAAATAATTAAACTCATGAAAATATTACTGAACTTTTAATACTGTAATTGACAAATATAATAGGCATATTAAATTATTTACACAAGTATATGCCATAAAAATATTTGCATAAATTACAAAGTTAGATCATTTTAAAAAATAAGAATTGAACAATAGTATGGAATCATAAAAAATATTAAGCAAAAGTATGAAATACTGATGATTAATATTTTGTAGGGCCACCTTTTTCCCTGATTTACAGCAGTAATTCTTTATGGTATTGTAGAAATAAGTTTTATATCTAGTTCTAGATCAATCTCTGGCCATGATTCTTTGACTGCCTTCTTTAATTCTTCTATGGTTGTAGCTCTTTTTTAGACAACATCTTCAGAACATTCGAAAAATTTTCAATAGATGTTAATGTATCTGGACTAGTGATGCCACGAATAGTGATTTTGCCGAATACCGAATACCGAACATTCGGCTACGCTCTTGGCCGAAGCGCCAAATATTCGGCGGCCGAATGTTCGGCAAAATATGTGTACATTTCGCGGGTGATATGTTATGACCTGATACATTGCGGTGGGTGCGGTAGCGACACTGCGGGCACATTTGTTTTATTTGCGAGTAGATCATGTCACAACATGCATTATTTGTTCATTGTTACATCAAATTGCGTTACTAATTATTACTAAAAAATATCACTGTATCACTTTATATGAAAACTGTTCGCCTAGATCGGACGGCAGACCTTTACAAGTGGTGGTCAGCAAACGCAAAACAGTATCCAAGCCTGACAGAATTCGCTAAGATTTATCTAT